TCCTTCGATGGAGGCTGTGCTGCTCTTGTAGCCTCAGCCCACTCTATGGAAGCTACTGGGCTTTGACAGAAATTTTACCTTTCTCTTTGGGTAAGTAGATGGCTGACAGACCTGTAGAGCTCTTAGTGTGAAACTAGGTCACTAGGAAAAGCCTGCTGCAGCCAGGGTAATGCGTATCATTGCAACAGCAGCAAAGCTGTTCTCAACCTTCCTGACCCTCAGCTTCCCGTTCACATTGATGTCTATCAGTTTTGTAACCTCTGAAGTTGTTCTGACACAGCTGGCTTTGAAGCTAAGTCTAAGAAGCCTTCCCAAAATTATTATTTTTAAAAAATTCTTTTCAGGGTGATTTTATTGTTGACCTGAAGCTGACTAAGATCATTTCCCAGTACTACTGCAGAGCAAACAGACGCATTAAAAAATCCGAGATGGTAAACTACAGCAAGAGGCAGCCATGTGCCTCTTGGAGGCTGGAAAAGATGTCTCAGGAGGTTCCTTCCAACCTCAGCTGATCTCTGATGATTTGATACACGTGGCTGTTGCTGCAGCAGTCATCAAGCTTCATAAAGATTTGCCCATAACTTATTTAATACCTAGATTTGAATTTTTTTTTTTTTTTCAGAAATAAGAGAGGCTATAAAAAGTCCGATAAAGGGGCACTGAAAACAAGCTGTTGGGGTCTTTTACTCAAATTGTAAAAACAGGGATCGAACTTATTTAGAGAAGAGTCATGCAGTTGCCTGATGTTGCAAGCGGGCATGTACACACTAAATCCTGGTTACACCTTTCTATTTGTAAATACCATGAAAACAGAGCCCTAGACATTTAGAGGACAGACCTATAAAACCTGGATATAGTTATCTAACCAGATCCTCAGGTGAAACAACCATTATGTTGATATATGTCAGGAGAGGACCTGTTACTTATTGTTTATTCAATAAACTCTTACAGCCTCTCATAGTTTTTGTCAAATGTAATTGCCCAGAGCTTCTCATTTAAACTGGCTCAAAACCATGACATAAAGCAGGATCTTAGTTCACAGTTAGGGCTCTGAGAGTATATAAATAACTGTAAAATGATCAGAGGAAAAAGCTCAGAATCCACAAAATGGCATAGTGGACTAAATTCTCTTAATTGTCTGCCAATGTTCTGCCTGCCAAATTTACAAGGTATGAAGAAAATGTTAATTGAACATGCATGTGAGAAATCCATTGCATATGGATCGCAGATACCAACAAACAGAAAACTGCATATTGCCTAAGCAGCTGCACAGTTTTTGCACATGCAGTTCCATATTTTGGGCACACATTGCAGCCATACTTTACAACCTTGTTCAAAAATATTTAAATAACAAATGGAAAATCCCCCCACGCACACACGTACGTTTGTGTTAGACAAAAGAACAGTTTGGTTTCATGGTCAGAGATAATCAAGTACTGTGCATTACATTTACCATCATTCTAACTCACTCGAGTGAAAGTGTTGTATAGTACATATAATACTCAGCAGACACAGTTACTCATATCTACATTCATCACTTAGACATACATTTTAGAAAATTTTGCCAGTTGCCTATAAGAATTGAGCTGAATATCTAGCACTTAACAAGCCACGGTATCGTATTTCTAGTATCTTATAAAATGTCATCAGGAAATGTTAGGGTATTATTTTTATTTTGTATACTGAGTCAGTTTGTCAAGCACTGGCATTTACAACTCTCGCTTGCTTCAGATGGTAGAAATATGACAATGTGTCAGAGCTGATGTAAGTAAGGGAAAATTATATTTATTCTCTGTTATACAATTAATTCTGGAAGAAAGGCACCATGAAAGAAAGACAAATTTTTAAACACATACAAGGGGAGAGATTTATTGCTTATGGTGACACATAAATCAGGCAGGGACTGGCGGTGATACACAAGCATAATGAGACAAGTCCAATGCTGTATTCTTCTCCACCTTTTACTAGCCCTCCTAAATGTACAATGTTGTTATCTTACTCTATTTGAATAATTGATTTAAAATTTGAAATCTTTCTGGGACTAGGTTTATCGACATACAAAACTCCCATTGACTTTGGCAGCAGCCCCACTAGTTATATATAATGCATTGTATAAGTTGACAACAGCTGTGGACTTTAACAATCATCCTGTTGCAATTTACTTGAGGAAAAATGGTCTTAGTAAAACATATTAACGATCTGATATAGAGCTTTTTATAAAAAAAAAAACAAAACTTTTTTAAACTCATTAATAATCAACTTTCTAATATCCTGTGCTCTGATATGATCAAGCCATCAAAATGACTTTAATTTCTTAAGAAACAAGGATTGAACTGGGTGTTTTTATCTATTGCACTTGAGAAAATTATATTAAGCCTAAGAAGTCAAATTATTAAGATGAGGTAGACTATTTCATTTGGCTAAGGGCTAATTTTGAACGCAGCATTGTAAAAACTTACTTAAATTCTGCGACTACGTTTGTGTGCATATTTTATTGTGGTTACACTGTTGTTTCATAACCAAAAGAAAGCTAAGCTGAAGATTTTTATTTACATGGTAGCTGATGACCTTCATTATAATAATTCTTTCATTTCTAAAGCCAGTGACAATGTGAGCTTATAGATTAACAAGGTTCCTTGCAACTGTAGGACCATGCCAGAGCAAGGGCTAAGGCAAGGCTCTCCACACCAGAAACTGAGGTATTGCCCCACGTTCACTGACTTTGGAGTGAAGCCTACGGGCTTTGAATCAGCAGCCAGAAACCTCAGCAGTGGACACTTTTTGAAGGTATGAACAAAATCGTAGTTGACATACTGTCTGTTCTATCAAAGGCCAATATTCATGGTAGAGCTTACAGAGTGAAGCATGCTAATGTTTGCAAAATGACTGATAGCGATCATTTAACATAAGTGATAGGGAATATACTAATTTAGCTTATTAACCTCTGCTGTCAGGGGTTCTGCACAGCTGTAGGCACCAAACGGTGCCCTTTTCTTGGTAGATACAAGATGTAACTAAAAAAGTAATGTTTTTAGTACCAGGGCCTTATTTTCTCAGTATGGTTGTGACCATGTTTTCTCAATTGACGCTCAGAATATAAGCAAGGATAGGTGGTGTTATAGCCAGCTATGTCAGCTGGTATTATGCAGGACACCTAATCAACCAAGTCTATTCAAAATCTGGGCATGTCTTTGCCACTTACCCACACAAAAGAAACTGTGTACTTTATGGCCACTGGAGAAGATTTCTTCATCTATCATCAAAAATAATTTAACTTCTGATGTTAACTTGCTGTTGTCTTATGGGCTTTAAGTCACCTGCTGGACAAAAATGTGTGCAGAATTAAGGTCAGAATTTGTAGTGAATCATCTGCCAATCAAGGTATAAATGTGGTGCCTTTGATGCCAATAGTTCTTTGCCTGAAAATAATTTTTAGAGTTTATAAGGATAACATGTTTTGTTAATGCAAGCTAGTTTAGAAATTGATTATTCCTAAAAAAATTACAGCAGCAGCAATGACAACTGTTCAATTATTGCTCTTGATACTCTACATCTAGTAAGGAAATGATTGAAAAACTGTCTCATCTCATAGTGTTTTCACTGAACTGAGAGAGAAGTCACCGAAAATTACATCAGGGAGTGTAGTTCTTCATCAGTCACTGGAGGGTAGCTTCGGCATCACATATCTATGTGACAGTTACAAAGCCATCTACCAGCTGTGGTTGTACTTGGAATGAACTAAATAATGTTTACAAAAACTAAGATACTGTGGAGATGTCTGGGGAAGCATGGCACATAGGATTGTCCTGGTTTGGAAAACGTTACTGGTATTTAGGCTGATGTTATCTGCAGGCTGAACAGAATGCATGGTAATTGTTAATAACACTACTATGCAGAGCTACAACTACGGCTGTAAAGTTCTACATTGAAACCTCCTGAGATTTGCACATTCAGATGTGGATTCAGGTAATTGGCTACACTTTCATAGTGGGGAGAAAGTCCATTATTTTTGCTCTACATGCTTTGGAAATTATAATTTTAAACTCAGCATTAGGCTCATCTTTCCTTTAAGTAACTTATCTGCAGCGGGGGAGGGAAAAACAAAGCCCCAAACCATGATAAATAGTGCCTCAGAAAAAGAAGAGGTTGGTTTGTTTGTTTGTTTTCTCTGGGAACAGGGCCCAGGGCTCTGGGCAAAATCCATCTCTTTATAACTCAGATATACTGGAATCTAGATGGTAGGCATCCTGACCTTCCATCCTGTCTACCACTTTTACCCTTCTGAAATTTAATGGGGACAAAATAAATGGGATTCTGTCGATGTTACTGAAAAATCATAGAGAAGTGTCTGATTCCAGCCTGTAACATATTTCAAAAGTGGGTTTTCTCTTCCTTCACTTCTACAAGATTGTTCAAAAGACATGTATCGGAA